AAACAAAAAATATACTGAGTACAAAATGACTGATAATTAATCATGTTGTGGTGAGAGCTGTCTGCTAGCCAAAATTGGTAGACAGCAATTTACGTCAGTGTTCAACGTCCCAAATCTTGGACATGGGAAAAAAGAAGAACAAAGCATAACCTTGAGGAGCTCAACAACCAATCACAGCAGACTTTGTTGCGTGGGCGGATACGATTCGCAGATATATGGTCTGGCCTTCAAAGAAACGGCCGCAAAGAGATGGATGACAGAATAACTTTCAGCGAGAAAACAACCAATCAGAAGAAGCTGTTTCTCTGCTAATAATAACGAATAATAATGTACATAAAAATATACAAATATCTCTTGATTTTCTTAATAAAGGATCTGTTGCCTGACCCTTGTCTTCTGTCGTTACAATGTAACTCTAAGCAAACCACTCACTATTCATATCTAATAAGAATAGAGTAAACGTTGAACATGTTGTCACAAATAATAACAACAAGCTGGGTGTCCTAGTGTGACATGGAGTAGAATGTGTGAGAAACAGATGACAACATATGAGAAATCGCGAAGTCACCTTTAGACGACTTCAGAAAACAGGATGAAATAGAGATGTGTTGTTAAAGCTGTATGTTCCCTGTTCTGCACTACAAGGAATAGTAATAATGTAAATAGTAACGACCAACAATACCAAATCGTTTTCTCACATAACTAGCTACTTAAAATGACCTTTATTTGCATCAAGTTCTGTACATAAAATACGTGACTGATGCCTCAGTTTTTCTTGCATTCTTCAAAAATGAATTATGACACAAACATCAGAATAAGTATGAAAGTATTCGCATAATGAAGTTAAAATCTCATAAAGAGAACACATGAACACTTCAGTATCTTGTATCCTTGAAGGGATATGCAACGAAATATTAGTCAACCTCCAAAGGAGTTTCTATACCCTTTCAAATGATCATAGAACAAGTTATCATAAAAGCCGCCACTAACCTGAATGGAAGACAACAAATATTGAAAACAGAGTAAAACCTAATTTCATGCAGATTCCCGTATTTCATCGGAAAAATATTAGTAACTATGCTGATTATGATTTTCATGAAACAGTAGCAATATATTACTTGATGCGAAATAAAATGTATTGTAAACCTCTCATTCTCAGGGTACAGAAGGAGTACGAAATGATGATCTAGGCTTCAGTTAAAGAACACCTTTTCATTTCAAGGTGTATGTTGATAACTCAAAAATATTTCAAATATTCAATAAATTGGCCTTTTCAAAAAATGTTGCAGTTAGCAAACTTTCTGAAGAAAATCTGCAACAACTATGTCAAACAATGACTAGATATCTTTAAAATCAATACAAATATTGTAGACACACATTTGAAAATTTCATACTCGATTTTTAAACTAATCCAGTAGTATGTCCGTTAATTGTGTCTTTATATTTCTCTATGAGACGTGAATTAAAGTGACTACTTTGGTGCAAGTAAACATAAAATGTTATTCCGTTAATATTAGGTCGTCAATCATCAGGTTATGGATATCGAAATTTCGCTGTTCTCCTTATTTCTCAGCCTCATAATGCGAATAAGTGTGTAAATATTCATTCATAATGAATATTATTACACAATTACTGGGGGATAAGTGAACATAACTACATCCAGTCTCTTAAGGAGTACACTTTATATTTTCTTAAGTTATCGTTGATAAGATGCCGCCTAGACTGATATGACCCCAATGATCAATTCTTTAAAAGTGGGTCCCGCTATTGAGAACGCTGAAGACATCACTTCACATTCATTATGGATAGTGCCGTTGTTCAAGCAGTTCATTAAGTCCTAGCGAGAAATCTACACAGTTAAGGATAGAACTGTTCAACGTCTTAATAATCACCATGGGGCTGCCCATGAAGAGTAGAATACTAGTGTGAGAACACCTTGTTATTCGACACATGAGATTGGGAAGTGAACCTGTGATAATGAAACACAGGGCACGAATGTCTTTGCTTGGAACACAAGTGTAGCACCATCTCGAAGGCACAAAGAGGCTTGAAAAAGTTTTGAAAATGTTGACTTATATCATCAGACGTATATTAGATCTAATTACATAAAGCAAATAAGTGCAGCTCTGGTAATCTAAGACTCTTGAACAAATCAGCACCCAGATGATTGGGTTTCAAATGGGAAAAGTAGCAAACTACTTATATAATAATATTGTAATATGAAACTATACAATAAATCTTTCCTACTAGAGATAGGCGGCCATCGCATGTCCTAGTAGCAGTCTACAATATCTACTGAGAAGATGATAGTTAGAACTTCAACCATAGCGATCTGCATATAATCGTGATATCTGATGACTTGTATTCGCACTAGATCATCAACCGCATGGTCAGCGGGCAGGTGCATAAGCATGAGAAGAATATTTTACATTTAGTGATTTACCTGCTGACTGAGAATCGGATCTGCAGTAATGACCAGTGTGAATGCAGTTGTGTCTGCTGCTAAACAGTTCCATCTTTCAGACCAACAGAGTAGTAATCTGTTAAGAAAAGAGATGTATGATGATCACTGTTTCCTATAAGATCTATAAACCGTAGATTAAAGGTCACTCAAATGAATTTTTATTGGTGCATTCTAACCAGTCAAAAATTCCCTTATCTTTTGCTGGTAATTTATTGGCCGTTTAAAATAACTGTTTTCTATAGTTTGGTTTGTAAGGGTCAGTTATGTTCTTACGAGTTGATCACGGATTGATATCAGTTAGAGAACCACTGAAAACCAGGGAGTACTGGACAGCTAGGATGAAACAGCAGCTGTCCAGCACTCCCTGGTTTTCAATGGTTCTCTAACTGATATCAATCCGTGACCAACTCGTAAAATAACCGTGTAATTAGCCATACTTTCTAGCCATGTTGCTATTTTTCGTGGAGTAATAAACTTTTGCCTTCTCAATAAGTCTTCTGTGTATTTCTCACTTCGGGAATAGTATTCAAATAACTGGTCATATATACGGTTATTTGTTGCAGTAAAAAAGAACCCGGAACTAATATTACTGTCTCTCTCTCTCTCATAACAAATTATAATCACAGAAACATATTAATAATGGCTTTATTTAAATAAATCAATTGATTGGCAGACTTGATATCGATCGTCACGTGAATATATTTTCACGTTTATGCATAATTAGGAGCAGGAAATAACTGTAAGCAGAGAGAGATATTCAATATATATAATATTTCAAAACAATAATTAGGACTAAAAGCCTAACAGCAAAATTTAAATTTAATAATAATAGTAATAGCTTTATTCTGAAAAAGGCTTATATCATGTAAAGAACTTTCATGATATTTTCTCTTCATCAAGGATCTTCAAATGAAAGATTAATTGACAGCAGATCAGGTGACACAGTTTTCTCTGACCTGAAGAGCAAACCAATCCACATTATGATATATTTTCTTTCTCCTCTTCGAGAATTACATGAAGTTTTGTTGAATACCAGTTATTAAAAGTTCAGGAGTACATTTTGTGAAGCAACTACACCACTTAGAAACGTTCATCTCATGTATTGGGGGTAACCTATCATCGAGGATAATACTTTTTCTCAAATTTAGGAGAAACTTGAGAATTGGCAGGTTGTGAACATTTTCAATACTCGCCACAGTAAACAACACTATATAGAGGTCATATATTGCTAGATTTAAATAAACTGAATATGAGAAATTATATGTTACATATTGATAGAGGTTTTCGGCGACCCAAGCTTTCAGCAGGCCACCGATGATTTCACAGAACAATACAACAATACAACGCATCTACTCCGTGAAAAATATCAAACTGTATAATATAAGACTTCAAAACGATGTATCCTGCTAGTTTAATGAAACGGATTATTTCTTCAAGTCAATTTTGCTTTTCTCGTTGATTCATTAGACTGAAATGTTTGACCTTTGTTGAAATGTCGGTTTCCAGTAAAAGACGGTTCGACGATATCTAAGGATTAACATGGTATTATGTGGTGGATGGCGACTGACAGTGGAATCCAAGATGCGCAAATCGTTCTGTTTGGGGCTCATCCGTTTAATGTAGTTGAAATCCTCGGTGAGAGATAGTTTCTCTTTGAAACTCCAATCAATCATCCATTCCATCAGTCCAAACGCCAAGGTGTTATCCACAGAGGCCAGATATTTCTGTCCAATCAATCAACGAAAGATAGAAAATTAAACAAATAATAACTGATACTCATTGATCTAGAGTTGGATTTGGTGTAACAAGTGGTCTAGTAAAACGATGGGTGAGAAGGTTCAAGTCCGAGTGAGAATAATATCCCTCACTGGGTGCATCCAATGACGAGTCCTAAACGGGAAGAAATGCTCAACATTTAAGAAAACCAACTTAATATTCAAGTATCGGTTTGTAGGGATTTGGTTGGTTGGTTACAGGATTTCATCATGAGCTGACATTGGTTAGAGAACCATTGGAAAACCTGGGAGTACTGGCGACTGGCCCTATTCAGGTCGGTAGTTACCTGGGGTTCCAATGGGAAGTCGTGACCAGTAGGGTGCAGCAGGCCGGGTGTGAGGACAAATACTCACCGAAGACATTGGCTAGCGGTTGCGCTATATCGTGAATTGGCAGAAGTTGAAATTCATGGGCCATTGGATCGGGTCCCAGTGGCTTAATGATCTACGAACTCGCCTTGTAACCAGAAGGTCCAAGGTTCGAACCTCGGTGGGTACGTACTGATGAAGAGTCCCGAACTATGACGAAACAGCTGTCCAGTACTCCCAGGTTTTCCGATGGTTCTCTAACCGATGTCAGCTCATGATGAAATCCTGTAACCAAAACCAACTTAACAATCCAGGCCTTGGTAAATAACCTGATTGCCTATTGATTATAGTCATTGATTAGTTTTGTGTTAACAGACTTATAAAGTAAAAACTTGACTGACACTTGGATGACATAACAAAACGTATAGATTGAAATAAATATATTGCGCATATATATTATTTATTTTATTTTATTTCTTTTTAAATAATTCACAGATGATATATAATAAAATGAGTTACAACATCTATATATATAAAAAAGAAGAAAGTAAATGCAACCAGATTGAGATCACATGACATTTTGACGACAATATTCAGAGACAAATGTTGTAATGAGTTTTTGTTTCTGTTCATATACGGGAAGAAAATCATCCAGCAAATAGGATGTCAGAAAAATAATAGCAATAATAATAATAATTTTCCATGAGAAAGGAAAGATTTATTTAAATTATGCAATAATTATGGCAGCTGTAAAAAAATCCTCTCAAATTTGGAAGCAACGGGACAAATTTTAATGAGGCATTTCAAATTCATATTTCTCTTCTTCGAATTCCTATAGAGGTAGGGAAAAAAGCAACATCATAACAAGTTATCAAGAAATAAGATGAATTTAAAATTTGAAGAATAATGCAATGTAGCGAAGTTCTGTGTACCATACATTATCTTAATATAAGCGTGTGATAAGTCATTGTAAGCTAATTAACTCTATCACACCTTGCCATTACTTTGTTTCATCCCTGGACGTTATGAGTGGAACATGGGTCTCCAAGCTTGAGCTTTGAAGTTTCAGTAGAAGCGGTGTTTCTTTCCTTGAAGTGGAGTAACTAGCTTCTTGTCAAGCCTTCCCACTTAACCTGGCCTACTACCGGTTACACAAGGCTTAGGAATGTGTCAGCCGGGGTTTGAACTCCGGATCACGCGCATGGTTGGCGAGCATTCTACCTATGAACCACAGAATCATTGAATCTTATAATATTATCCATTCACTGGGGATTGTTATACTAAAGGGAACATAAATCAATATATAATATCACAATTAAATGTAAGAAACAATAAATAAGCATAAAAGCGAAGGATAGATCATTCATCTTTTTATCTTATTTTTAACATAACAATTTCGAGTGATGTAATGAATTATAAAGTAGTCAAATGATGATAATGCGTGACTTAAAATTTAAAGAAAGCTATAGGATTGATTCAGAAAACCTAAATTTTTTCGAAATGAGTTTACTTAGTTTTATTTTATTGAGTAAAATATATGAATCTGCAGGGATCTGATTGGGTACAAGTCTGATCACAAGCTTACATCATTTAGAAAACCACTGGGAAACCTGAAAGTACTGGACAGCTGTTCCGTCCCAGTTTGGGACTCCTCAGTTGTACGCACTTACTGGGGCTCGAACCCAGGATTTGCGGCTACTAAGCGAGCTCGTAGACCATTCAACCACTGGGAGCTGATCCAATGGAACATAAATTCCAGCTTCTGTCACTCGAGCCTCTGGCGTGGTTGGCAAGCATTCTACCAGCAAAACACTTTATTTAATATGAAGAAACAAAAATGCATGGAAATGCTAAGAAATGATGTTAAACTAAAAAGTTACAAAGACCAAATAATGTTTTCTCAAGTGTTCGCCCTCATTGTATGGCGATTCACTTACATATTCCTGGAAGTGGCGGGAATGAATAACTTGTTGCTATTCATTAGTCTGTGCAACCCTTGAGAGTGCAGTTCCTTATTTCCGTAATATATTGCATTATACTTCTATATTTGAGAAATGCCAAGTTTAAACGCTTTCAGACTGTATGAATTTTTTTTGCATCTGTAAAGTGATACAATTTCTATGTCATTTTATTAAATTACTTTCATTTCCTTAAGTATTTCAGTTGGCAGCTTTAGAGTGATAGCGTAAATCACCTGCTTACTGGCAGAAAAAAGAAATTTTAAACTAGAACCTCATCAAATGACTTATTAGGATTCACACACTATGCATTAACTTGATATTTGTAGCTTAGTTAACATTGAAGAACTTGCTTTGAAATCTGTACACTTGCCTGCTTAACCTTCTTGTGTAACTTTGTTTTCCAAAAGGTGCACATTTTAGAAATAGTCCTCTTTATTAAGAATTGGCTCAATACTCACTGAGTAATGAAACAAGGATTCTTATTTGCTTAATGATGTTCGTGAATACAACAGTGGATAATGACAATTTTAAACTCTACTATTCACTCTCTTTTTCACTAAAATGTGAACACATGATTTGTACATGACATTTCTTAGGAGATATATCTGGTGGCTACTTCTATATTTTAGTAGGCACTCATATCTTTGAGCAGTTGGCAGAACATCGATTAATAAAATTGTAGGAAAATAAAACTGGCTATTGATTTATGAATGACACTATGTACCACTGATTGACTGAGAGGACCCACAACAACCAGTAATGCTTGCTAACCACATTGAAGTAATCTAAACACCAGACGGCTATTTCGCTCATTTGGGGTCGAGCTCATCAGCCATATACTCAGAGAGTTGAGCCAGTTCAAATCACCCGATTTCTAACTAGTCACTCGATTTAGCTGATGATAACAAAAGTTAGATTCGCAATTTACAGAGTTCAGCGTGAAATTTCACCCGAAATTATTGAGATCACATTATGTGTTCTGTTTCATACTTTAAATGGTAATCAAAGTAGCAAACATAAATGCGTGTATCAAGTAGGTCACATATATTATCACCTAAATCATTTTGGTTTCCAAAGAAAATTGTGGTGAATTCTCAGCTGGAGTGGTGTTAATTGTGAATAAATTTGTGTGAGTTGTGAATTCAACAGTTCCTTTATTGAGTCAAGTCAATTGGTTTAGAAAAACACCCAGAGCACTGGATGAATACAAGTTCTACGCCAAACAAAATGAATTTAACACTGAAAATAATGTATTTTAAAGAGTTACATGATAGGTTATATGAAGTTTATTTCAACAATATGGAGTCGGATGTATGTATGTATTTATATGAAACGAGTGTCGCGAGGTGAAAACCGTTACACTAGTTTCAAGACACGCTTTAAACAAAGAAAGAGTTTTCTTAATTTAGTAAAAACTCATGATGTTTACCTAATCCATGTGGTAATTTATATGATATATATATATATATAATTTATAAAATGTTTAAAATATAATCGTTATAATTACCTCCCATTTAGCGACGAAATTATTTCCTTTAGTGACAGGATGGTTAAGTGTGTCAGCAGCATTACCGGAACCTGTCTCAATTTGCTGTTTGAGTTGAAGCAGTTCTTGTTGGGCATTTAATAGTTCAGCAGCTAGTGCATCACGTCTACATAAATTTAAAAACAAAATGATTATGACACCTTAAACGAGAACAAAGGTGTAATAGGAAATATTTTAATTTTAAAATGACCTAATAAGTTCGATCACACAAGAACATCAGTTAGAGAACAAACAAAAGCCAGGGAGTACTGAACAACTTTTACGTCATAGTTTGACGCCCATAAAAATTACGCACCTATCATCCCACCAGGGATCAAACCCTTCAATTTACGAGGCGATCCCGTTGGCTATTCAACCACTGAGATAGAATCTGATGACCCACGAATCCTTACTTCTGCTAGTTTATGATATAGCGCATCACTGCCAGTTAGTATTTAATTACTGGTGGCGAACTACAGGATTGACTGAAAGGTGTTCTCGTGAGAAGCCAAGGCCAGTAGGGTCAATTACATCGGGTGTGCGGACAAATACTCACTGGTAAAATCGGCTGGCTGAGTCGCTATGCATCAGGTTTTAAAGAAACTAAAATTCATGTGTCCTGGAATTTTAACGCGGTTTCTGGATGGTGAAAGCCCTCTCCTCGTATCTTAAACGTTCTGGGCACCACGCCCGGTGGAGTGATGGGTGCTCACTGTGAAGAGTCACGAACTCGGACGTAATAACTGTGCTACACTTTTTTCCTTTAAATGGTGTAACTCCGTGATCTAACTTGAAATAGACTACAAACCAACACTTGACAAAAACAGTTAAACATTTAGTGTCTACATTAGAGACTTTTTTCTGCATTTACTAGACATTTTATGACTGCATTTAATTATTTCCGGAAACTGACAGGCCAACACTTTTCGATATATATATATATATATGAATTCAAATGCGTGGTAAATCACATGTTTTGGCTATCATATTAAATATTAATATCATTATTCAACTGAAACTAATTGTTTGGCTTACTCTGAACGAACAATCTGACATTCCATTTCATAAGTAGTAATTGGTTGATCGTCTTCATTCAATGCAGTAGACATACAGTTAGGCTGTAAGAAAAGAAATGTAAAGCCAAACTTGAGAATGTAAATAACTATCATAATTTTTTCTATTATCTATAAGTGGGGGGGTTGATGAAGTGTGCAAGGGACGTTATGTAGTCAATTCTATTGTAGCAATGTGGACTATATCAAATAAATCTAAAATTACCGCTCAGATATATTAGAACAATACAAAAGAATCCCCTATGTTAGTAATACGACTGACGGAAAATACTTTAATCCACAATTAGATTCACTTTGAAATAACAGGGGAGATTTGTAGCTTAGGTGGATGCTTTGCAATTAATAGTGTTCTCCGAGCTGGTTGGTTTAGTTGCGAAGCTTTCGTCGTCCTTCTGGACAACATCTTCAGCACAATTTTCAGCATAAAGTGAAATGATTTAAATTTTCCATGAGTGATAGAATTGCGTCTCCCGGTAACCATCTTTACATATGTATTGACCATTTTCTATTTACTTGGATTTTAAACTTTCTGGTCACCTGATTTACTTTTTATTAGTTGGTATATTTCGTCTATATTAATGTTGTTGTTAATTGCATATTCGTTTGAGTACCAGGCTTCTAGGAATATCCTGGTACTTTTAGTGTTTCCTCTGTATAAGATATTGGAATTATCCCAGTCAAACTGATGTCCATAATTATTTATACGCATTGATATCAAAGAATATATATCATGTCTTTTCACGGCTGATTTGTGTTCTTGGATTCTGATTCGAAGGGGACGCCTACTTTGACCGATGTAATGTCTGCTACAGTCCATACAATTTATTTTGTAAATGGCACTAATTTTATCCCCTTTTTCTGTTGGATCATTCGGTCTGTACAATATCGAATTAAGCGATTTTACTGGCTTGTGTGCTTTATCTATATCAAACGGTTTCAGTATTCTAGCTGTTATTTCAGAGATATTTTTTATGTTTGGTAGGATGAATTTTCTTGTGGTCTTTGATGATGGTTTCTTGTTGGTGTTGTGATTCGATTTTAGACACTTTTTGATGAAATTTCGTGGACAACCATTCTTTTTGAATACCGTTAGTAGGTATTTTTCTTCCATTCTTTTCAACTCTGGAGTGCTACAGTGTGTTTGTAGATTCACCTTAGAAAGTTTCACAGGAAACTGGAAAAAGCGTTATCATCAGAAGCATAATTATTTCAAATTGACGAGACCGAAAAATCTTTATTAGTTCATTTGAATAACAGACTTAAAACTGTATATCTCCTCTCTACTAACTATGAAATCGGAATAGAGATTATGTAGCTAAAATGTTAGTAAAATTTTCTACCGTACAAAAAAGGAACGCTGATGAGAATTTGAAACTTTCAATTTAAAATAATCTTGATTTTAGCATTTTCCTTCATGTGTAGATTTTTTCTTTTGAATAAAAGATGCACCGTTTCCATAATATTATGTTCATTATAAAACAGTTAACTGCACTGATGTGAAATTATGAACAGCAATAAATTGTGCCCGAAACGTCACTCACTTATTAATACTGTATCATCATTGTGAGTTATATCAAATAAATTTTATTCAAATATGGAATTATACTCTACCACACAGTACCTAAATTCTACATCTGCATTAATTTACTGTAATGCCTGAGAAATTTAAAGAATGATAACTGCTATTTCGATTCATGGAAAATTCCTATCAGAACAGGTGAAAAAATGAAAACAAATGATTCAGCGAAGAGGCACTTTTCAACGAATCTGTTATCAATTAATACAATCATATATATAAATATATATACATGAGTTTTTGAAATGATAATGTGAGTTGCAACAAAATATTTGTGATTATAATCACAGCCAAACATTAAGAGATTAAATAAGTTATATATTGAGCAAAAAATAGTTCAAAGGAATGCATAAATCTAAGAAAGGAGGTGTAGTATTAATAAGATTAGTAGGCAGATAAAACATTATACAACAAAGTGAGCATTTCGATAACACTTGAAATATTTATGTCGAATTAAATAAATGAAGGATGGAAAGTTCAATAATACCGAAAATTGTTTAACATACAAATAATGTGAGTCCATGGTTTAGTGTTGGAATGTTCAACTCAGGACGACGCACTACGGAACCTCGCTTAGCCAGTAGTGAGCCTTGTAAAGAGGGAAGGTGAGGGTTGAGTGTAAGGCTAGCAAACTCAACCCGTAAAAATAATACCACTGATACTGAAACTTCACAGATATTTCGAAGCCTTATGTTTCACTCCGAACGCAAAGGAACATATATAGTTATGTATTATAGAAACAATAAGTGAAGCAAATACTGATTGATTAAACGGGAAAAAAGTAAATAAGGCCGAAATGGTGATGGGGACAACAATAATTTAACATACACGGATTACAATCATGAAAGAACGAGTGGTTGAACAAACTTATTCCGTTTAAAGTAATCTAGCTTCTCTATTTCTATAGTAATGGCTTCAGAAATACATATATGTAGGAATTTTTGTAGGTTATGATTGTAGTCACGAATATTTTATCACAATTCGTAACACTGATTTTTTTCCGAGTCATACATATATAATAATAATATGCGACTGTAAAGCTTGGTAATAAATTCATTGAAAAGAGTCTCCTCACTGAATTACTTGTTTTCATTAAATGCTGATCATACAAGCACGTGAGATGAAAGAACTTTTAAAAATACAACAGAATCAATTACTTGTCAGTGGTCTGCAGACTAAAATTCAAGTTGCCACACCCCGTATGGCTCCCAAAAGCAGAAAAAAATCCAGTGAAACGGTAATCTACGGGGGAAAGAATAAGCACACGGAGAACAATGAGAATTTAATAGGTGTGAGAGATCACAATTTTGAACCTTGTCACCAATCATCTCAAGCTATTGGTTCTTAGCGTCTTCACAACCGGACCCAGGCAGTTTACACTTCCCTACTCGACTGTCTCGAACAAACCGTCACAAGCGTCATGGATAAATTCCAGGTTCAGATATGACCACTCCTAACTCTTCTTCAATTTAATCTTATGTCAGCTAACATTGTTCGTCTAGAAAGACTACTGCTTGGCAGGCGTAATACCTGCCATCTCAACCGAACCAGTTTCAGAAACTCGCTGATTACTTTTCCCTCCTTGCTTAACACTCTTCGCCAAACCTCAGTATCTCTTACCATATTGTACCACAGGAAACACAGAATGCGAACACTTATGGTCAAATTTTTGGTCTAGAAAAAAGCCGCATCGGGAACAAAGCAGTATAACTGAGGGTAGAAAAATTCTTCAAAATCAAACTGCAATTTCAGGCATTCCCTTTGTCAGATAATCGATAACCTCCTACGTGTTATAGAGTATCAAAACATCAAGACCTAAAATTTATTTTTTTATTTCCAATATCACCAAAAATAACTTCACAGAAACTTTATTTTATCTGTGAAAATGTGAGTAAGACCAAAAGAGGTCCATAGTAGGAATAAGAGTTTATAAAATTGGATTTGTAATAGATTGTATCAAAACTTTATGAAATGACAGCATGTTCTTTTTGACAAAGGATAAAGTATCCTTCCCTGTTTTAGGTGAAGCTTGTTACAATATCGGTAGAATGATTTATCTTAAAATCTAACCATTTGAACAAAGCTGTAAAACTTGCATAAATGTTATCGAATGACTACTTGTGTGCCTATGGTGTTGGCAATTAGTCGAAACTGTAGTACGCAGCTAGTAATACTAATACTAGCGTCGGTGGCACAGCGGTTAGGACGCTCGCCGACCATGCACATGGTCCGGGGTTCGAATCCCAGCCGGCGCACTCCTTTACCTCGCTAAGCCGGAAATAAAGCTGGTAAAGAGGAAAGGTTGGGCATATGGTAGCAACCCCATCTTGTAAAAATGAATACTGCTACAGAAATTTCATGAAGACTCCAGCAGAAAACCGAACGCAATGGAGATGCATGGCTGAAGCCCTATGTTCCTCTAGGAATTAAAGGATACAATAATAATAATATAATACAGAAACTTCAAGCCATTAGCTTGAAGCCCTATGTTCCACTGGGAACGTGAAGGAATAAAAAAAAAATAATACTATTCCAGATGATTAAATCTTGGCGGGTAGACTAGAGTTCGGAACTACGATGCATTTGTTAAAAATGACTGCAAACATAACTGGATCAAATATAGCTTCAGTTTATTGCAAATGAATCACTGAGGACTCAGAGAGAACTTTCTTAACGAAACAAAGAAGGGATTATTAGCTAGTAGTATAGGAACCTTTAAACTAAATAGCTTTACATACAACAGAATAATACTGTAGTTAAAATGACTGATAAATATAATTCTCAGTCCTCCGATAGCATATCTGATCTATCGTATATATTTACCGAAAAGAAACAATTAATGTGTTTATTGGAAAGCTTGTATAAAAAAACATCTAAAAACAAAACAATAGAATGTAAAAGTTTATGGGTGTTTAATCGATTGTGTTCAGATAGATTGACACGATAAGATTTTAAATGTCAGCAACAAATCTTAAGCATTTACTAAATCAGCGTCAGATAGTTTCTGAGTATTTCTGACAAACTAAGATTATTATAGAACGATTCTAAGTACACGCCTAAACTAAGAATTTTTATAATAACTAAAACTAAGAAGTGAAAATAAAGAAAATTCACTTAATAATCGAAGAGTACAAATACATCTTAAAATAGTCACTCCTTGCTTCCACAGCAGAAATTATTTACAGGCAAACTGTTGAGCTGTAGTACTTATGTTAGTCAGACTAAATAGAAAGGATACTGGAGAGTCGGTTGTGTACGAGAATTGTTGAACATCTGCCCAGACGCATACATTTTAGGGACTCAGCTTCATTTTACAGAGTCATAGGTCTACACGTGATTGATACAGGACACTAGATCAACGCAGTAAAATCCTTGAAGGTGGTCAACAGATAAAGCAATTCTCTACTACTTCGAATTGCTGAAGCTGTCGCCACCCGAACAGTGGAACCCGAATCACGTGTTCCGAATGAGACTGTTACCAGTTAATTTTACTTTGATAGGCGCTGAGTCTTTCACTTTAACTCTTTGAAATTTCTTTTCATGTCTACAATGTGATTTTGTGTTTTCATTCCCCTTTTTTCTTATTGATTTTTTTAGCAGCTTCGTGACCTTTAATCTCTTTTTCATACTTTTTTGAATAACTCCTCCCACGATCCCGCTCCACTACTCCACATGTGTGAACTACCCTCAAATTCCAGAACATTCTTCTCTTTACAATATACAAGATCTTTTTTTGGATGTAACTGATTATAATTGTCAATTTGTCTCCTTTCTTGACGTTTTATTCTACCTTAGTAAAAATGAACTAGCTATTCATTTAAAACAGGTTTCTATTATGTTACGTTGATTACTTATGTATTTTATTATTCAAGTTGTATGCAGATGATGACAGCCCTGTGAAATAAAATGAATTCATGGAATCCTACAAAAGCTTCTCTTCTATTACAATATTCAAACTGAAGGATGAATTATTTTTTCCTAAAGTCCAGGTATCCAAAGCGAATCTCCACAAAATGTTATCAACCCTCTAAATTTTGTTTGCTAGAGATTTCGTTTTTTGACTCGGTAGTTGAATCTGTATTGAGACTCTGTTGAATTTCATTCATTCATTTTGGGAATACACTGACTGTGATTAGTTCGATACATCTGGTTAGATTTATGGGAAGACTGCCGTTCGACACCCTTCAATATTTCACTCCCAGTAAAACAGAAATTATACATCATGAAGTACACTTACTGTCTTACAGTATAGACACTCTCCAGTACTTGAGTAGATTTGTTTCTTTTTCGCTGAATGGTATTCACTTCACGAACCTGTGTATCATGCATAGGTGTATTCACTCTTTCATTCTTTGTTGTTATTACCAGGCCATTAGTAATCCTGTTGATATGAATAAATTATCAAAGCCCACTCAGCTTAACTAATGATAATGAAGACTGTAAAACTGGTGTCTTTCACTCTTTCAGCTGATTTTATGTGTTAGAATACCATTTGTTTCCTTTTGTTAACGAATTTCTTACGTTATGCAGAGTATTTCTGAAAATTTTCACAGTTGTATGAAATACAATTATTCCATATCCTTAATGTAATCTGGCTTAGGACATTAGGTATTACTGGTTGGTCCTACATTGATAACTCTTATCTGTTTATTTGATGTAATCATCTCAATTTTTCAAAGAATTCCTGGGGTATGGAGGGCCAATTACTGTAGTAATTCATGTCTGCTAGTGACTTGTTGAATATAGACATAAGCTTTGGTCGATAAATTTATATGACAGTGTGAGTAAATAGTTTTTTCTACCTCTTTCAGTTATATTCATCTGCAGCTCTTATGCCTGCTGCAAAATTATATTATACAAAGTTTCCGTTAGACTACGTATCTCTTGATATTTCTATGATAGTTGTTTGCTTTTAGCTAATCAATAAACTCCCACATAAAAATATTTTTTTCAGTAATAAATAGGACAAAGATTGCAAATTATCGATTCAAGTCTGTGATTTCTTGTTGACATATCTGGTCGATATTCGTCAGTCTCATTTCAGTATATAGGTTCCTTGAATGGATATCTCGATATTACCAGAATTATTAAATCAAAGCAACCTATCTTTTGGTGGTGGCTGGCAGAGAAAATAAGAACGCGCGTTTCATCCTAATCTGGACTTGTCAGATGGGTGTACTGACTCCGGAGTGAGTAATGGTGTCTCCACTGAGATGTGGACGTCAAATGTTCAACAAGTAACAAGTAAATAAAAATGTGCGTCAGTACATCTTTCAACTAAAAGACCTGACTGAATGGTTAAAACAATAAGAATTAGTGGAAATACTGCAGAGTGTGCCGGAGAGAAATGGAGGTATCCCAGTGATTCAAGCAGACCACCAAAATGAAGCTGATTAATCTCAGTCAAATGTACCAGTCAGAAATCACAAAAATGAATAAGTAGTTTCGAATTCTACTCGTTCCACAAGAGGTGGTTGTTGTGACCCCGAGACCTGGTAGACAACACTAAAGGTCTTGAAGAGTTGGGTACTAGGCTTAAGTGACACTTAGAACAGCACCATTCATTGAGCAGCGAGTACATCCAGGTAACGGACCCGAATAGGACGAAAGGTTTGTCCTGGATTCTGATGCTAACCACCACCAGACGAGAACAACAATTACTGATTGAATAAAATGGTCATCGATAATAATTATATAATGAACACTAGTTGCATCAATCTGTCTTTAAATCCCACCTTAAGCAATATAGAATGAGTGTTTTGGTTTGTGGTGACCAGCTATGGAATTCAGAATACACACTTCGTTCTATTCGGGCCCCACCAGCTGAATGATGTTCCCACTGAAACTCGAACTCTGCACTAACCGTTTCGAATGATAAATGTTGTCCACCACGCAAATGGCCCACATGAGCCACCTCTTATGCAGTGGGTATCAGTTACTATTCACTTTTAATTTTGCATTTTCTACCGATTCCCACTGCTAGTCACCACCAAGCAGAATCACATGTTAGTCATCAAACATTGTTGAATTATTCGTACTAGAAGCCTACATGTCAACAGCAATCGAGGATATATATGTTCAAACCAAGTTCAATTTTAACGGTTTGAAAAATTTGAGCATTGGGTATATGATATTCATTATAATAAAGGTTTTTGTATTTCCCAATGAATGAGCAATCGAGGATTTTGGTTCAGATTAATCAAACAACAAGAAATGAAAAAGTAACCTGAATACAAATAAAATGAGTGTTATCAAATTTTTCGCGATTCATATTATTCAATTACACTGGTTGTAAAGATATGTTGCTATGTCAGCTTATAAGGGTGGCACTGTGAGGGTTTTCACCTGTAATATGCTTGAATAAAAGTTATTTTCAGTAAAATTGTGTAATATTCTGTCAAGAGTGGATGGAAACTGTGAACTGCTTAGATGGTATGTCGGTACGATCTGGTATGTTTGTTGCAAGGATTTGTGTTTCAGATAAACTGTGTTCAGATGTTGCTGCTATAGGAAGAAAGGAGTAATTAGCCGGTAATATTTTCCACTGGAATGGTTTATTATTTTGTAAAAGCTGTCATTTTTTTTAAATGGATTCATTTTATGAAGACTTCGTTGGTTTTATTATTTTTACGAGTCAATCAGGGATTGATATCAGTTAGAGAACCACTGAAAACCAGGGAGTACTGGACAGCTGTTTCATCCTAGTTTGAGAATCATCGGCAGTACGCACCCACTGCCAGGGTTTAAAACCAGGACCTTCCGGTTACAAGCCAAGTTCGTATACCATTCACCCACTGGGACACGATTCAATGGCTCATTAATTCTAACTTCTACCAATTCGTGGTTTCATTATTTACTAAGATGTTTAGCGCTTATTTAAAGGTAGGCATTAGTCACTTTCAGCCTTAAATTACCTTCGTATGCAGAAAAGACTCAACATAAAAGTAACACATTTAGTCTTTTACAAAAACAATTAAAGCTTTTATCAAAAAGTCCGATATTTTGATTACTTACTTGTGTTTGATTTGTTTTGCTTTCACCTTCACCAGTTTCTTGTTTTTCTTTAGACAGACTTGATAATACAGTTTGTTCAGGAATTTCAATTCTTAAATCTTTCAGTAAACCACGTAAATCAGACAGCACAGAACGTAATGATCCTAAACGAAAATCCATTTCAACCATAGCCAGTTCATCAGGTGTTTGTGTACCAACTTTCGAGTATTCTTGTTGTTTAGCTCCAGTAAGTGCATAGACATCAGCACACATTTGATTCATTTGTTGATATATCTATTAGTGTTTCGAATTCATTTGAGAGAAAATTCAAGAGATTGGTAATTATGATTATGATTATGAATAGAAAATAATAATGTAGACATCATTAGTTTCTCTACAAAAAAATACTTTTACAATAGGAAAAAATACTACTAGATATAAAGCCACCTTGAATATTCTACTGAGATTTGAAACATAGATTTCAAATGCTAAAAAACAAATGAAGACCTATATATCTGAGCACGAAAATCGTAACAGTTGAAAATGCAGAGAAGGGAGATACTGCGGACATTCTACAAATGTCACTGAATGCGTTCATTTTGCTTGTACCTTGCTTGTTACAAATAAAATGAAGTATTGTTTAGTCATAAAGAAAGTATTATGAAACCAAGGCACGCGAAGCAGAACAAGCTGAAGGCAAAGGAGACCTCGCAACACTCTACCAAACAACTAGGTACCTATCGGCAAAAGTCTGACACAAATTAAGCCAGTGAAGGATGACAATGGAAAGTCAATCACCAAAGAAGTGGAGCAAAGGAAACACTGGGCTGAACACTTCAAAAGACTCCTAAATCGACCACCACCTGCAACGCGACCAACAATACCAACGACGGAGACAGAGCTACCAGTGAACACCGACCCCGACGAGAACAGAAGTCCTGAAGGCAATCAAGATGCTAAAAGCTGGAAAAGCAGCAGGACCAGATGGAATCCCAGCAAAAGCGTTGAAAATGGACCCAGAGACAACAGCGGACTTGATGACGCCACTACTGGAGAAGGTGTGGAAAGAATGCAAAGTACCTGAGGATTGGAAGAAAGGATATTTATTCTAACTGCCGAAGAAAGGAGACCTAAGTCAATGCAAGAACTGGCGCGGAATTATGCTCCTGTCCATCCCAAGCAAAATACTAAGCCGCATCATCCTGGAAAGGATCAAACAAGCCCTGGATGAAAAACTTCGACCGGAACAGGCTGGATTCAGGAGAAACAAGTCATGTATTGATCAAATCGCCACACTATGGATCATCACTGAACAAAGCTTGGAATGGCAGTCACCTCTCTATCTCAACTTCATCGACTTTGAAAAGGCCTTCGACAGCGTCGATCGAGAGGTGATTTGGCAATTACTTCACCATTATGGGGTGCCACCGACAATTATACATCTCATCAAACAGTTGTACGACAATGCTGCATGCCAAGTAATCCACCACCGGAAACTTACGGAATCCTTCGAAGTGAGAACAGGAGTAAGACAAAGCTGCCTACTATAGCCAATTATTTTCCTGATTGCAGTAGACTGGATAATGCGACAAACAGCGGGCAATGATATGATTATGAGCAATAAATTGTGCTCGAAACATCATCAGCAAATATTACTGTATAACACTGTGAGACTATCAAAATAAATTTTATCCATAATGGAATTATACTCTACCACAGTGCACAAGTTTTATTCTTATATCAATGGTTCATTGTGTTCAGCAATTCCCGGCACTCATATTTTTTCTTCTTTTTTCATTCTTCTACATTCTGAGCGAAACATCGAGATCCAGGCTTAAACCCTTGAAGTTTCAGCAAACGTAGTGTTTACAGAGCGAGGTTGCTAGCCTCACGTCTAACTTTCCATAATTTACTGTCGGATACAAATCTATGAGAGGTTTAGGATTGAGTTGACAGGGAACTGAACCCCTGACCACGTGTCTATTTGGCGAGCGCTCTACTACTGAAACGTCAATACATTACTCATACTTCAGTAATGCATATTTTTCCTCATTAACTATACTTAATTAAAATTAAGTAGTTTCAGACAGATTACGGAGTTTTGAAGAAGCCTAGGCAGGATGAAATGAGCAATTTGTATTCCACAAAACAAATGATATTAAGGTTACCTTAGACGAACTATTTAAATATGTATTTATCAAATGTCAAAAATGTAGACCAGAGACAGTATCACAAATATAAAGCTTTAACACTGTTGTAAATTATCATTCTACACTAGTTTGATTATCTGAAATGGGCGACTGACATATTAACATCGAACTCAACACAAATCTGCATCTGTTTAATGTGTCATACTTTGGAAAAGCGCACATTAAAAATGGAGAAAAGAGATGTAATAAAACGGTAATGCATGAAAGAAGAAATAATTAGATGAAGATGAGTGATAAGTTTTGCAGAATCTGAACCATCTGCGACACTGCTAACAATTTTCAGCATCTCTAGGTCTCAACTAGTTCAAACCAATAATGATTAACCTCATTGACTGATGGTAACTTCTCAGTCCAGCCACCTTCAACTCTTTGTGAACTGCTTCTTACTTCAGTTGACATGGTTCGTTGAGGAAGGCAGTGGCATGGCAAGCACACCAGATGTTTAAACCGCTATGACCGACAGAGCTGTACAACTGAACTGACTCATTCATTCTCTTTGACTAGCAGTCTACGCATAACCTCACTATTACTGAACATGTCACTTCACCTAAAACAAGAGGCAGAACGAAAACGTCTGCAGTCAAAAGACGTCAACATTTTTATAAAGTCTATTTTCACCGATTATGTTTTACAACTGTAAAGTAGGATGCAGTGAACCGCTTCTCGAAACTCACATGTCTAGATAGCATAGACCTGTTCTGAGGCATAATCTTACTTATATTATAGGTGAATTTTATGCCAATTATGCTCAAATTTTTGCTCATGATGTTCTCAATACTTTGTATTTTTTGAAAGTAAGACAATATTGTACCAGCACATTTTATTGATGACAATTATATTAAAGTAAGTGATTCTATTTCAAGCATTTTTATAGTAGTAAAACGCATGGTTCTTTCATTCTTATTGCCAGTAGAATTATCAAAATATCTGTATTGTATTTAGAATCATTCTTGTTGCATAAATGTTGATTCACTGAAAAAGAAATTCACCAGTTAATCGTTTTCGTGGTATGATTATGTGTCAATTACATTGATTGTAATGATTGAAATACAGGAATTTAGTGGAATGTAGATTGATAGATTCTAGTAAAACAAGCGGTTAAGGAAAGACTTCAGTTGTTGTAATTGCATGCACTGGTTATCAGTAATAGTTTATGCTCTAAATATTGTCTAGTAAACAAGATTGTATAAGTATATACTTTAGCAAAAATAAACAAACTTGGGTAGTTTAATTCAATTTAGATTTTCCCGTCGATTGATTGGACCGAAGTGCTCAGTCTCAGGTTGACATATCGGCTGCTTGTGCAGATGCTTCGACGATATCTGCTCATGTCACTTCAAGTCAATTGGTGGATAGTGACTAGCACTGGAATTCAGGACACTTGTTTCGTCCTACTTGGGACTCGTCGACTGGATATATCTGCAGTCTCCAGTGAGAGGTGATGTTCCCACTGAGGCTTGAACCCATTGCCCATAGCTTCAAACGCCAGTGTTATCCATTATAGCAATTGGGCAACGAGAGCCACTTCTTGTTCAACGGGTTCTATTAGTTAGGATGAAATGCAAATCCTGTACTCCACTGCTAGTCACCATCCACCAACTGACTTCAAACTTGGGTGGGGTGACAAACAGCTTCATATGTAAATACTAACCGATTGGTGGTGCATGATAAAAAAAATAAATCCATGTTATTGCCACTTTCATTTTTGCAGATAAAACATTTTACTCTCTACTCAGTTAATCATAAGTTTTTGAAGCAGGCACACAACGACTTCAAAAAAGTTTGCAACGAAAGGGGAACCAGGTGCATGCGAAGTTAAATAACTGGTGTATGTATTATGCCAATATTTTATGGTACTTTTACTAGTCTTAGGTCTAAGTTCAAACCAAACGTTGTGTGTAAATTATGTTATTGCATATCTAGTCACAAAAACCAAAGTAGTTTTACAAAGACAATATTTCTGATTTCCTACGTGTTGTCATGCACCCAGAAATCGGCTTGTTTGGACTGGATCAACTCTATGTGCTAAGTGACACTGGTTACACGGATGATGAATTAGGCTACAAATGTCCAACCCTGTTGTGTGATTTTGTGTCAGTACTTGCATTGTAGTTGATGAATTAGGAATGAAACTCAGCAATAGAAATGACGCAACACCAGTACCAGAGATATGGAAAATATTACAAACAGTAAAATCAAAGGATAAATAATAATGAAACTATACAAATAAAGTTTGAAGGTTATATAAGTACTTTTATACGATTATTACCAATAAATTGTGCTCGAAACTTCATCAGTAAACAAATAATTCTGTGTCACTACTTATTTTATCAAGTCAAATTAATTTTGTATTGTGGAATCATACTGTACCACTGTACTCACATTCTATACTTACATCATCAACTCTGTTAAGAACCAGAGTTAAGAATAACCTACAATACTGAAATACAAATACTCATTATTGTTAATATGAAAACGTTAAGTTGCGGTCCCCTGCGTTATCTTAAAGTCTACGTATTGAAATGAATAAAACTGATATATGTCAACAACAAAAAATACTCACTTCTTTTACTTCGGATCGTAGTGCATTTAAGAAGGTCTCTTTTGTGTTTGCTTCAGACTTTGGTGGAACAGCACTTGAATTCGACGGAAGTGCAGTATCTACAACTACGTCCTGATCAAAACACGATAAGTACGCTAAAAATGAATCATCATCCATTTCAAACTCAACGTCATCGTCATCTTCCAGTGCTGAAAGTAAACCACCGAAGTTCTGGAAATACAATAAGACAAAAATTCTTTATGATTCATTTGCTTAAACATTATAAATTTACTTAGTTTTATTATCCATCAATATCTGCCTGATACAAAGTATTCACTCTTCACTAATTCCAAAATAAAACCAGTGGAGATGGAGAAAAGATTGTAATTTTTACGTTAATCCACACCAATGAAATAAAATGAATTCTCAACCTAGAATCTTGCACAAAAGAACACTAGTCTAAGTTAACACACTTCGCTAAACCATACATATAGGCAGAAAATTTGAATGCAAAGAAGCCATGTTAAATGAAAATATGTAGACGAAATAAGTGTTACATGGAGAATAATGAAGGTTTAATAAGTCTGCGAGATCACAAAGAGTGAATAGTTCTACACCGTCAACAGTGATTTTCAGTCATATCACTCATCGTTTCCTGGAGGATACCAACCAGGCAATCTGCACCTTCATGTGCTGCCCGAAACCAACAATTAATGACTTCACTGATCGATGTCGTGTTTTCACTTAGCCAATCCTAACGTCTTTCCAACCCGATCCAATATCAGTAAACATTGGCAGGTGAGAGAGGTGATAGCTTGGCTTGCGTAGCACGTATTCTAGCAAGCTCAATCAATTCAATATCACAATCTCACTGATTGATTTTCCCTGGTTATCTAAATCTATACATCTCGTAGCAATATTACTCAGCATATTATGCCACTTAACACAGGAGACAGAAAGCAAATATTTATGATCTAGTCTGTTCATATCTTCAACTTCCAACGGCTACATCTCACACAATCATAAAGAAGGATACAGTGAACTGTCACATAGGACACACTTTGTTTGACCGATAGCCAGATATCACGTACGTGTCAGTGATGAACCAGTACCATAGTCTTTTTCAGATGAGGATCTAAACGTAATCAGGGTTATTCAATCTGACGACTTATACTAGAACGGTACACAACATAAATGTAAACAGGGTGTTTTTTCTCCGTTGAGATAAACAGCCTAAGCTACTTGCTAAATATCTGCTTTTCCACTTAAACAAAAAGCAAGTATCCGAGTCAATGTAAACTTAAATTCCAATAAATAGCTATAGGATACACAATGAAGGGAGTTTTGACATATTATTACACTCACTTAAAATGTCACCACAATATACCATTTAGAAGGACAACACATATTTCAATGATCGTCTCCATTTAGGAAGCAGCAACTTAGAGTGTGAAAAGTTTTTAGTTTTAAGAAAGCAAATATAATTTATATCGATTTTTTTTCACAATTACCTACCTAACTTTTAAAGATTTTATTCTCTTATCTTTGTCTTTTGAAAAGAAATTCACACAAAAATAAATCATTTTAGGCGGTTGTAAGTAATACAGAATATGTCTGACAGACAGATACAGCTTAGTCTTATGAGTTTGTGCAATTCCAGAAAGATTAATATGAAAGTACACAACGAATATGTTTACTGTTTTATTACAACTACAATGAGTTCGCTTTTCTGTGTTAACTAAATACATGTGCGAAGAAGGCGTATATGTATATATACTTCAATCAATAATGCTCACAAAGCTTTGTTTTTCTCTTTCGATTTTACGAAACAGTAAATAATCTTCTTGTATACCTAATTTATCTTAAGTCTTCTTAGTTTAAAGGTAGTTTTAACCATAAGGTATTGTTAAAACGGCAGCCATAAACTACTGGAAAGTTCTATTTATCTTATTTTATTTTTGTTTTTCCTGTCGATTGATCGGAGGGAAATTCAGATTAACTTAAAAAGAAACAGTGACCAGTACACTTTGCACACAAGGTGGTTCTGGTAGCCACTGGGGTCTAGTGGATGAAGCCTTCGTATCGGAATGGATGGGTCCACTGTCCGAGCTTCAGTGGGACACCATCAATCACTGGAAATGCAAGCACATCCAAATGACGAGTCCAAAATAGGACGAAATACGCATCCTGGGTTCTCCTGCTGGTGACCTTTAACTAAAATAATACAAGGTTTTCTTATCGGGTTTTCAGGATTAACTGTTAAAAGCAGTATCAGATATCCCAGAACCAAGTTGATAACACTTTGATTTTGTAGTTATGAGTAGCAATAAGGTTAATTCATATTCATATGTAATTTTCTTAAGACAGCTACTCCTGAATATATTAATAAAAGTAACCAGGTAAAGAATAATTGACTTTTTCTATTTCAGTAATATTTACAGTGATCTCTTACTATGATCCAGGATACCAGTATTATGACAAATGCAAGTTAACGACTGAATTCCCTTGTTCAGCTTATAATATTTTCCTTGATCAATTGAATAATATTTGTACTTAGACCCTAGTGAAATCTACTGCAGAATGAAGTGCAATCTGTTTTCAAACTACCTGACTAGAATTTCGTGGATTTTCTTTTACTAACATGAGTCCTCTTAAATTGTTTAATGAATCACACACGTCAACTACGCTGTTGGCTACAGTTTTTACGAAATACAAAATAATTATAAACAAGTGTGACCAAACGGCTGTATTCTAAATAAACTACACAAAAATCAATAAGTACGTGGTATCATATAAAAATCAGAAGTAGGAAGTTGAGGCATACACCACACAAAATTTCTTAACTTAATATTTTAATACAGTAAAGTGTAACAGGAAAGCTTCTAACATTCCTGGCATTTTGAGTGAAAAATAGGGGTTCAAGTTTTCAAGCTGCAGTAGACGTGGTGTTGCTTTTACTGAGTGGGTTTGCTAGTCTCAGTTTCAATCTACCCTCTCCATTGGGCTTACTACCAGCTAGTAAACTAAGAAAGGCTAAGGAGCACGTCGTCCAGGAATCGGACCCAGACCTGCCGCGTAGTTGGTGAGCATTGGACCACCGATTCACAACTGGACATGTGGTGCTTACAACACATAACTCAACAATCCATCAGTTATTTACAAATCTCTGAGCACTTCTCATCCTCCCAAAGCAGATAAACCCAAATCTGCAGTAAACACTGACATTTTACAGATTCTGATCAGCTTTAGACCACCTTAAATTACAATGCTTACAAACGAATAAAAACGGTAGCCAACAAAATTATGTAATTTGAGAAGGTCGAATTCCAGAGTATTGCAAATGCGAATACATGGGATTCAAATAAAGCCATGATGTATTAGAACATGATCACTTTATTTAAAAAATGTATCAGTGATTAAAATGACCGACATAATTTATCAACAGATGACCTTAGCTATAAGCCATAATGTTTACATTTTCAATAGTTTGGATTTTAGTTGCATCAAGCCAAATACTTTTTTCTGATCTTGTTTCAAAACTTCGTCCCTAATTTCTAAACATACTTGAGTTATATTGGAAAAGTGAAAGCAAAATCAGATTATAATACTTATATGATGTGAAAATGTATCACCTTTCCAGTTAAATGATCTGAACAAACTACCTTCCGAAGTCTTATTTTTGAGTTGCTGAAATTATTTATGGCTAATTAAAAGTCTCAGGAGAAACGGAAAAGATACTCTGTAATCAAACTAAATAGCTTGTGTGCTACACAATCGTTTATTTCCGTTTTACTTTAAGGTGCGAGAAACCTTTTTGAAACCAGAGTGAAGATTCATGAGTACTACTGTCACTATTCAGTTCGTTGTGTCTGGTGGAGCGATATGTTCAGCAGCATTGAGGTTACACATAAAGTTTTGATCTTAGAAAATAAGGCAATAGGCTGGGTTATGAAGCTACATCTATTGAAGCGGTTGAGACTGTTGTTATTTTGACACACCATCGCCTTCCACAACAAGCCATGTCAACCGAATCAGGGTGAAGTTCGTAAAGAGTTGAAGGTGACAACACTAAAATCTATCATACTTCCATCAGGCCAGTGATTATCCATTCGGAATAGGTTAGATAGTGTAGGTTTCCTAGTTGTTGTTCTCAACATGGTATGATTTAATTCTTCGGTACTATTTGTGACATGTCTGAAAATCATGTCTAGTGGAGTCGAGGTATTCGCTCGTTGTTATAATCCAGATTCTAGAAAGCTTACTAGTAATCTTCGATTAATCATCATCTTGGTCGCAGATGTAGTATAATTCCATTCCTTTCCAACACTTCGTGAGTTGTAAGAAATTATGAAAATCCCTTCTGTTTTTCATCTCAGTATAATTTCCGACATACATTTACTCCGTTATTTTTGTCTAGTCACCTCTAACTTTCTTCGGAATCTTATCTTCTTTTGGCTGACAGTTCTTGGCAAGGAGGATTATGGCTAATGAAGCATAGCACATGTTCCAACCAATCCGATCCATAAAACTTCAAAACCCAATTGACTGGCTTACTATCTTTGACTGACACTATGTCTGACCTCATTGGCACTGAGCACATCATTTCACAAAACATCATAAAAGAACGAAAACAGCTTCGGGTAAAATATGTCTGTATTCAAATATAGTCAACCTTTAACGACCATTTCTCACAGTTGCAATGTGAGACAGAACTACTGTGTGTAACTGGAAAACATGTTTTGATGTTCATTTTCAGATTTGACGCAGTTCGCAAATCTCAGGCCTAGCTTTTATATACAGTCTAAAACGCCGTTAGAAAATAGTTCATTAGAGTTATTGCAATTTCCTATGCCAGTGAATCCACCATTATATTAAATAAATTTACTCTTTACCCATAATAAGATAGAAAGCCACATGAGCACATTTGGCATTTTGATGGAGATGCTCAAAGGAATCAAAATCTTTTCGGTGTCTCTGCTTGTTAGTAAGTCAATTTTTGATTGGTGCAAATAGAACAGACAAACATATTGTACCTTTATAATAAAATTAATGAAAGCATACGGAAATGAACTTCTTCAGTAGATACTAGTCTTTCTAGTCACTAGTTTACATTTTCTACGGTGACCGTTAAGATAAGAGGATTTTTATGGTAATCCTCAAGACTTTTCCAAAGAGTATGAGTTTATTAGGAGTCAAAGGGTCATAATTAATATTTTCGGACTCCAAATATTTATTTATTATATTTACATTACAAACGAACCCGTTGACAATTCATAACCAATAAAGTAGAAACCATGGTCGAAAAGTTTTCAGCAGACAAAGCCTTGCCATCATATACAGGGATATAATAGAGGCCTCAATGCAGCCCTTATGATCATGTTTATATTTCTTTTGACTTACAACGTCATGGTTTCCACAAACTATGAGTAACAACATGGATGTCTTAATGACGTAGTCATTTGTACCGACTACTCCTTTACTTTTGAGTAACACGTTTTATGCGGAGTCCTTTGAGACTCTTCTAATAACCGCTATGTTATGCATTAAAAGAAGAATTAAATATTACCGGCTGAGGTTAAAAAATAACTTATGTAGAAGTTATGAAGTGGTCAAAATTTTCTATATATACGAAATATTAATGGCTTGCAATATCGCCGAAATTCAAAATATCCTGCAGTCAGGATGATGAGGTTAATTTTGGTTTGGAAGAGATATGGTAAAGTTTTCGCAACAAATGATTAATCGCTTTTAATATACAGCTAGCATGTAAGATGGTAGAAAACCCTGATACTGCCAGAAAATTGTAAAATATTACGAACAACGGTAGCTGTAATAAGTCACGAACATAGATCAAAAACACACTACATTATCTGAATTTATCACTAATAAGGCGGCAAAAGTTCCAACATAATCATGTTGTATGGGGTACATATCTGATAAATTATGTGTATATAACTATTCTTGTTATGACTACAGCAATTACAGCCAGGCACTGGAGATTATATGGAGTCATTTCTAACAATAAGTAAGTTCTAAGAAATCATATTATTCCCTGAAGACAGTGTTCCTTAGGGCTTTAAATCTTGGGAGATTCCACTAAGGGTTCCTCGATAACTCTTTATGTATAGTAACAGAATTTGTTATAATATTTTACTGAAACATTCAGATTTACTTTTAACCAGACATTTCATTATTTCAAGAGAGAAACTATCAACAGAAAACTCTTCAACCCTAATTTGAGCGATTTTGGATAAATTTGCTGAGCGAATTCTCCGTGAAATGAAGAAGAGTGTAGTCGATTAAAAATAATCCAAAGAGGCCTAATAACCAAAGAACCAAAGATGTAAAAAAGTAATAATATGCAGATATTCACCTCCATTTGAACCATTTTTTGTTCAGCCAGCTCAGCCATAAGAGAACGATGTGGACGAGTATCAGCCGGTTTTGTATTACCACTCTGATTTGAATTGTCGTTCTGGCTTCCCTTTTGAGATGACAATATCTGAAGTCGATTGTGGAGCATGTTAGCTGTTTCTTGTAACCTTGTAATCTCTGCATCTTGATTATTTATCTAAAATACTAGACCAGGAGAAAATGAACATACAGTAGCAACTTGTTCGCTTGCTACACTTCTCAACATATTTATTTCTTGATAAGATTCTCCGAGTGATTCTAATAAATTGTTTCTTTCCTCAACAACAGCGCTCAGTTGACTTTCAAGATGGCTTTTTTCTTCTCTTAATTTAGTAATCTAAAAAATCTTCGGAATTAGCCCGCACACTCACTTCCTGCCGAAGGGATTCAATTGACTGAACGTGCTCCTGCATTGAGGATTTATGTTTTAAAAACTCTGATCTCAAGCTAGACAGTTCCTCTCGTAACTGCGTCTCATTCTCACTCGAACAGTTTAGACGTTGTGTTAGGGACTGGTTCTGCTGAATTAGATCACTTATTGTTGTGTTTTTCTCCTTTTCTATCTGTTTACACATTTTTCTTTCCCTTTTTAAATCAGCACGCATAGCAATTATATCTGTTTGAAGTTCCTTAACCTGAGCATCGTAATCATTCTCCACCGCCTCCAGCCGAAGCTTTAATATGTGTCGTTCACTTTCCAGAGTCTTATATGGGATGTTAGTTACAAACCAGGACCTACATGAATTCTCTGGAGTAGGGACTCAAGTAACTCGTTATTACTACCATACAGCTCATTGACATGTTGTCTAAAAGATGATAATCTATTAGCATTTACGTACTGGTTAATATTTCCGTAACCGAATGCAGCGCTTGCAGCTTCTGAAAGGTTGTGAGATAGCTAAAGCTGAGTAACATACCAGAAATATAGCTAGACATCGATAAGGTGCACAAGTTTTGAAATGATCCCTTGTGTAAGTCCAACATAAAATGTCACTCCAGTGAATAAAACAAAATGTCAGTATCGAAAATTGGAATTAAGTAAATATTTACATCTTTGTTTATGAAGTAACTTTAGTGACGTTTGTATTCTTTTGCGTATCTACTATTTTGCATTCTTTGAAGAATAAACGAACTCTAAATGATCCAATCTGTTTGCGTTCCATTCACAACTGATTACGCAGCAATCAATACTAAATGTAAAAAACCTTTCGAAGGATTTAACTACTAGCTTTCTGGCAACCTAAAAGCAGTTTTTAAATCTAAAGTCCCTCTGCTGAATTTCCCCCATTTATGAATTTCGACTGCAAATTATTATTTCAGGAAGTCGATGAAAACCTAGTTCTTTAGTGTTTAGGCTGTTGTAAATCCTAACTTCTTTCAGCTGAACATTAGCTAAGGATTTATAACACGCAAGATCGTTTTCTAAAATTAATAGCTCATATGACAGATTTCACTGTGTGAATACGTGATTCAAAAAATTCCGTGTGGTAAAAATGCATACATAATGAGGAATAAAAGAGAAGCATTTCATCAGGGGTTTGAATGCTAGAAGCTCCTGTGTCCAAATGAATTTCAAATAGAAATGAAAACTGACTGAAATCCAGTTCTTAAATATAACCCTTCGTAAGGCGAGTACACGGTACGAACTATCTAGTGTAGAAATACACCTAACTGTGCATGCCAGAACAGTAGTATAAGTGCTATAAAATTTCCGATTTACATTCTGCATCTTTCCTGAGTTTTGATCCCCGCATTTAACTTCTTTTAGTCAACCTCTTCTTGCGTTTATCTCAAATATCTACTTACCATCATCCCTTTGTCACAGCTATGCACGTTAACTGATGGTTAGTGAGAAACATTAATAAATTCCATAGCTGTAACTTTTCAGCAAATATTGTTATTTGCCGAATGTTGTTTATTTTAAACTATCAACGCTTATTAGACACTTCTAGGACTCCCTTAGGGTCTTCTTGATTCCACAAGTTCTGAGAGTAATGTTTTCCTCTATATTAGCATTGGTCGAATGAAGTGTTGAAAACACTGGAACTTTTATCTACAGAGTCAAAATATTGTTGGTATATCTAATAAAGATCGGGACAACCTTTGTCACTTAGTAAATTAATCAATTCAAACTTGGTACTACTTAAGTGCCAGCTTTATAGTGCGATTTAACTTATCAAGCAACTGTGAAATTGTATGAATTTTCAAACACCAGTTGCAGTATGGCAATACCTAACGTGTGCTTTGCGACCCACAAACCAATAACGCTTGTAAATTTCTGACCTCTTATGTCTCGCTTTAGCACCAGAAATCTATGACGACCACTTACCTCCTGACGACGCAAATTTTGGTGGCCCTAGTGTATAAGTGACAAGCAGCAGAAAAACCATAGTCTCACATTTTGATATAATCAATTATCTCACAACTTGTCCGAATAAAAGTCACTTTCATCAAACATTTAATTAGTTATTCACTCTATTTTTATAATTTTCTTGAGTTAAACTTGTAAATGTACCAGCCTGAAGTTGTTGCTGTTGCTAGAAGACCGATGGACGCAATTCAGATTTTTGTGAACTGAAGCCAACTCGAAACAATCAGAGACAAATTGGCAATTCGGGACGTTACGGGTTCAAACGCTGATCGAATCAAATATTGAATCCTTCAAGTTTACAAATACACGTCAGTAAAACTCGTCGCTATACTTCTGGTAACACCGCTCCAATCTTCCGATGAACACCTAGCAACTAGACCACAATAGGGATCGTGACCTCCAACAGAAACGAACCAAGTTTGAATTTGCGGAGATATTGGAGATTCATTCATTTTGTACTAAAAGCTTATAACATAATCCCTATCCAATTTCGCTGATGCCCACATCTTCACACTCGTAAAAATGCCTTGTTTCTTTGGGAGAAGTGAAAGTTGCTGTCATTGTTACGACACACATAGGTGGACCTAATAAGGTACTCTGGTGTCTTCCGAAATGAAATGTTTCTTGATGTTTTCTTAAGTACTGCAGAAAAGCTGAATGCATTTATTCCAAACAGAAGTGCACCATTATTCATTTCAAATCATCTGTTCACAAAACCAACATTAATCGACATTATCACACACTTTTTAAATTCTAGTTAAATAACCGTATTTATAGCAAAAAGCGAGGACAGTTGGTGCAGTAGAAACACGTAATATGAGGGGTTGTTTCAGTGACATTTGTCAATCTGTGCTTTGCAGACATCCGACTTAAATTTTGTGGTAACGATATCAGACTGTTAACTTCGAAATAAGTAAATGCAGACTATCTTAGACAATGTCGTGCAAAGGTCTCCAAATTAACAAAAGTTGAGGAGAGGCATTTTGGTGAAAATATTCCGAAATGATAGTCCTGAGCTTCACTCCGTCGACTGTGGTGAGAGAATAACTGAAGATGTAGAGCCAGAATTCCTTAAATGTTGCTTAATTTAAAGAAACAAGAAATCACGTTGGTGGATAATAACACTGGTACATTCTCAGCTTTTATACACAAGGGATACCAGTTTATAGCATCATCAATATGATAAATAATATTTACATGGAGTAGGTGTATTTACAGTTACCCTGTATCACAAGATATGTGTAACAAAAGGTGATGGAATAATATTTATAATGTCACTTTACATAGACAGAAGCAATGTACACACTATAGTACTAATCATCCAGCGCGAATTTTGGAAAGAGAGTGAGTTTTACGAAAGACGCTATAGCCAGATTCAAGGTCATGATGGGTTCCTGCGTTCTCTGATGATATGATTTCGTGAATTCATTTGCCGTTGAAATTTAAGGGTTTTTTGGACGTGTTGCTTATTTTGCATTGTGTATGTCAGCTTTTGTCACTGGATGCTACTGTTAAGCTTATTTTTCGTCTGAAGTTCCCTGTTAGTATGTTGGTAGTTAAGGATTATGGTAAACCTGCAATCAGTGAGCTAATTCACGTATACTATGCTAATATAGTAACATTCTTTAGTAAGTAAACTCCATAACTGTTCTGCCGTTGTTTGATTATTTGCTTAAATTGGAACCGTGAGCTGGTTTATCAGCATGACTGGCACTAAATCAGCGCCTCGCTCTTATTCTACGCATTTTCAGAAGTAGCTTATCAGCCTTATTACAGCCCTCGTAGCCCAGGTGCAGCATCCAGTGCTCTATTTTTAGAAGGACCAGGGTTATTTCAGTACACATTGGATTGACTTCAGGTAGATAAAGTATTCATTTACCACAAAAAAGCATTATTGACGCGTTAGTTAGATTTTGCTGAGAATTGTTGGTCTTTTAAGCGTCCCAAGCGTATTATAATGCTGGATTAAATCTCTGTAATTCTGAAATAATTCTAACATTCCATTGGGTAAATTCTGATTCTGTTCTGAAATGGATTCTTTAATGGCACAGACTAGAACTCAGTGCAAGTTTTCAGCTTGACTAGCACAAATTCAGCGCCGTGTTCTTTTCTAGGCATTTTCAGGAGTTGATCAGAACCTACTGGGTACGCTTATCAGGATTGTTCTAGCACTCACAGGACATATTAATCACGGTCTAGAGTTGCTTCAGAACGGAAAGACGTTATTCGGCACCCAGTTCTCTTTTTAAGCACCACCAGTGTTATTTCAGAAGATAGTGGTAGATAAAATCTTCACTTACCATAAAAGGGCACAATCGAAGAAGAGGTTAGAATAAGTTTAGAATTGTTGTAAGCTTGGGTTTGCTACGGTATGAGCGATAAGTCATGTTAGTCACCATTACTCAGGATATGCTATTAACCAGAAATCTTCGGCTGATAAAGAGTAGTAGATAAGGCTCAGATCTGTGTAATTTCTGACTGACTTCCAAAGCGCTCTCACTACGAAACAACCAACCAACGTGTGCTTTAAACTGTGACTCTTAGGCATTTCAAGGGAAACGAAGTGTAACAGCAGTTTAGACATGCATGTTTATATTATGAATACAAATAAAACAACAAGGTAATACAAACATTTTCACAAAAATAAGCGATTAACAGGGGCACATCGTAATCCTTAATTTGTTTGCGGTTCGTTTACTAGCAAACTGTCCAACCTTCTGGTGAACTCTGCTATTTCCCGCAGTGCAGCGTCCGGATTTCTTTGGTTCAGACTGATAAGACGACATCTTAACCGTTCATAAGCATTCCAAAACGCGTTGTTTGGTTCCGGTGTTATGCGGATCGCTCGTGGAATGTTGTCCGTTGTGTTGTACCGACGTGTTTTTCTCTCGTTGTTTCTCAGAACATCTAAGAGTAACATTTAAGAAAATGGAACATACCACAGTTTAGATATGAGTTCAAGAAAGCCTCACCGACATGTGCACATGGCAAACTGTATACAGAGTTTGTCAAACATGTGCATTTCGCCTCATTCCTGTTTACGAAGAAGATGTGATGACCTTCTGCGTAATTAACTGAGGTGGAAGATACTGAATGGAAGAAGAAGAAGGAGCACCTTTGCAAGCCTAAGAAAACTTTATTGGCAGCAAACAGTGTGAGACGCCGTAATATAGACTCCAGGAAGTATACACCCAGGAAAAATCGTAAATTATCTTGAAACTTACATCGTAATTGTATTATTTACAAAGCATCCACTGGCCCCGACGTATTTTACGCATGGTTGTGTGGTCAATCCACCTCCGTATTTTCCACAGCGTCATTTCCAGCGGATCACCTTTATGTAAATACCTTTTCAGCTGCCTATGAGCATTCTCCACTCTGGGCAGGTTTTAGGGGTGTGATTGTATCTCTTTCCGAACTGTCCGCCTTGTAGAAGGTATCAAGTTATCTTTGGTAAAGTATTCATCCCAGTCACAGCTTCTCAAGAGCGTTGGTAGGAATTCCCTGTCGGCATTTCTGTAGTCCCTATATTGATAGTGAACCGGGGAATTTTTAGGTGTGTGTTTAGTTGTTAGTTGAAGAGGTAGGGTGCAGTACAGTATGCTGTGATCACTGT